GGAGGCGGGGCCTGTGGTAGGGCGGGGCTTGGAACTGGGCGGGGTCTGGGCAGGGCGGGGCTTAGAACTGGGCGGGGCCTACAGCAGGGCGGGTGCGGTGGAGGTCCGGCTACGGAAAACCTGAAAGTGTGTCTATGAATTTGGGATCTGTTTGGACCATTTTCCTTATATTAATCTGTTTTTTTTTTAATTGGGAAGTTAGTCCTGGCCGTTTTTTCTCAGTGATTAGAGCGTTGGCTCTTGGACATGAGGATCGCGGGGTAGATTCCCGGTCAAGGGCACTTATCTGTGTTGCAGGTTTGCTCTCTGCCCCCTCCACCCACCTCCACTCCCCTGTGTAGGGATGCGTGCGGGAGGCAACCAGTCCGTATGTCTCTCACATTGATGTTGCTCTCTCTTTCTCTCTCTCTTTCTCTCCCCCTCCCTTCCTCCCTCCCTTCCACACTCTAAAAAAAAAGCAAAGAAAAAAATACCCTCTGGTGAGGATTAACAACAACAACAAAATTGAAAAGTTATCATAACCATGGTAGAAAACGTTTTTCCAATGCAAGAGTATATGATAAAAGACTTAAACGGAAGGCTGCCTTCCACCTCGAAGCCACGTGCCTGGAGCCCCACCAGCATCTTTAGGGAGCCTCTCACGCACGCCTAGTGGAGCAGGGGGCACCTGCCTGCTGGGGCTGGAAATGTCTCCTAGGTTGTCAGAATGGGCTGCAAGTCCAATCACTTCACGTGGATGTAAGAACGTAAGTACACACACACACACACACACACACGCACACGCACACACACACACACACACAGAATGTAAGTACAGGTCTCCAGCCTCTGCTTTTAGGAAAGACCTATGTTCATACAGACGCTCCTCGACTTACGATGAAGTTAGGTCCCAACAAATGCACTGTAAGTTGACAACATCATCAGTCGAAAATGCATTTGCCACACCTAACCTGCCGAACATTGTAGCTTAGCCCAGCCCCCCTTAAACAGTGCTCAGAACACTCAGTTTGGTCTACGGTTGGGCAAAATCATCTCCACAAAGCCTGTTTGATAATGCCCGGCATCCCGAGAGCGTATCGGACCACTAGCCTGGGAAGATATCGGAATTCAAAATTTGAGTTCAGTTTCTACTGACTGGGTATCGCTTTTGCACCACGGCAAAGTTGAAAAATCAAAAGTCACACCATCATAAGTTGGGGATCCACTTTCGCCAACCAGAAGAACGGCGAAGAGCACTTTCACTTTTGCAAAGAAAAGCGAAAACAGGGTTCAGCATTTGTTTGTAAATCCTCGCCTGAGGATAGGTTTTTTATTACTTTAGAGAAAGAGGAAGGGGGTGGGGAGAGAAACATTGACTGGCTGCCTCCTGCATGTACCCTGACCAGGGATCAAACCCGCAACCTTTGGGTGTATGGGACGACACTCCAACCAACTGAACCACCTGGACAGGTTTTAGCGTTGGTTTTGCGTGAGCAGCTGTAGAGGCAGCAGAGTGGCCCTGCCAAGCTTCCTCCCTGGAAACAACCACACCCGGCATCGCAGCATCCAGCCGCCAGAGCTCTGAGCTGTCTGTGAGCATCTGCACTTTATCTCGGTTTATTTTGTGCAGCTGTTAGCAAGACGTGTCCTAAGCTGTCGGAAAAGACTAAGAGACCTCATCAGGGTGTTATGCTTATTGTAAAACTGGATGTAATTAAGCGTCTTTGGTATCATTTGGAAGGTTATTTTTGGGTCTGGGAGCGCTCAAAAAATTTCCCTCATAAATTAATGGTAATTGCCTCTCTGATTTATGCCACGTTGGCGTACGAAACGTTTCAGAGGGATGCTCCACCGTCGGAGAGCAGGGGATTCCTGTATACACTGTCGGTAGCGTGTGTCTCACTTTTAAATCACCCACACGGATAAGAACATATGCTAGGCTTCTTGAACTTTGCTTTTTTTTTTTTTTCCATTTAACACACAGAATTTTGGAGTCTTTCACGTCAGCACGTGTAGTGCTGCCACGTAACCCTCAACATAACATCCCTGTCCCTACGTCAGCCCCTGTCCACTTGCTGTTGGGCAAGTGTCTAAACCTCTCTGAGCCTGCTTCCCCTCAGTCACCTGGGGACTGTGCCACGGGCCCCGCAGTGAGGACGGTAGGGCCACACTGGCTGATCCTGGGGGGGCACCGGACAGGGACCGCTGCTGACAGGCTGCTCAGCCCGTACATCTCACCTCTCTGTCTGTGTAGACGGGAGGAGGAGCAGCGTGGCTGTGGCAGCTCTAGGGCTGCAAGGCCACGGAACCAGGAAGGCTTTGGGGGTGCCTGGCTGCATCCGTCTTCCTTTCGGGAAGACCTAGGGCCTGGGAGAGGCGTCTATCCCCATCTGACCTTGGAAGGCCCTTTCCTATCCGGACCTCAGCTCCCGGGGGTGCCTTGGAGAAGAAATGAAACAGCAGGTGCTGGGAAACAGGGCCAGGGACTGAGCTGCCGACGCAGGAGCACGGGAGAGGGACGGGCCCCTGGACGGAGGACAAAAAAGAGGCTGATACAGGAAGGGGCCTGGGACGTGACCATGGCCTCGAGACAGGGGTCCACTGAGACCCTACGCTCTGATCATGTAGTCCCCCCCACACACCCCCGCCGCAGGGCTCTCACCATCCAGGCTGGGGATGACCGTCTTCCTCAAGGCCAGGACCAGCCCCAGCGGGCACCCGAAGAGGAAGAGGTCGGCGACCTCGAAGTCGAACCTGCCCAGGGCCCCTGTGCCGTCCAGCATGGGGGAGCTGCTC